GTGAAGAGTTAAGAGTCATTCAAAAAGGAAAAGATATTATTACAATAAACATTAGAAAAATTTAAAATTGATAACAAATCATTAAACATGATTCTTGCTAATAAAGATCTACGTAGAAAGGAAGGAATTGGCTTTGTAAGTAACATTCAACAAAAGCCAACTACATTTGTTAAAGGACTCGCATTACATGTTCCCCCTAAAGTTAAATGTAATTTATGTGGTAGATGTGGACATTATGCTTATAAACGTTCAAAATTAGTTTGAGTTCCTAAAGGAACTATAAATGACTTAATGCCAATAGTTAAGATAAGTAGATCTAATCATGAGGGACTCAAAGTTAAATGGGTACCTAAACCAAACCTATCTTTCCTGTAGATATGTCTACAATTAAAAGCTAAGAGCAAAAAATAATATCTTGATAGTGGATGCTCAAGGCATATGATCGGAGATCTAACACACTTCACAAAGCTCTCTAGCCGAAACAACAATAATAAAGGAAAGATCATTGGAATTAAAATTATTGGTAATAAATCAAATCTTTTGATTGAAGATGTTTTATTAGTTAATGTGTTATACTATTGATCTTGATGATTATCATGACGAAACTTGTTTTTCGATTTTAAACGATGATGCATGGCTTTAGCATAGAAGACTAGGGCATGCTACTATAAAATCAATCACATAAATTGAAACTAAAAGAGAAATGCATTTTTGTTGAAAATTTCTCTATCTCTGAAGCTTATCGTGTTTTCAATAAGAGATTAATAAATCTATTTATGTTTTTTTTGTGAATCTCTTAAACTAAGAAAATGGTTTTGATAATGATTTTAAATTTTATAATTTGATTTCTTCTCTCAAAAACAACTTGGATACATCTACTTCCAAATAATCCTTACGCAAGAAATGGAAGTATATAGATGCACATCCTAAGGAGCTAATCATTGGAGATACATCAAAAGATGTTCAAACTCGCTCTTCATTGAAAAATATTTATTCAAATACATGAATCGAGAACTTTTATTATTTATTCTCGGATGATTCTTTCCTTTTCTTAATGAGAATATTTATCCAAACGAATCATGATCTTTCTCTTGATTTATCGATATTTATAACTTGAGATTTATTCTATACAAATCAAGATCTTTTATTATTTATTCTTCTATAATTCTTTTTACTATTTATTAAAGAGAATATTTATACAAATGAATCATGATTTTTCTCTTGATTACTCGAAATTCATGACTTAAGATTTCTTTTGTATGAATCAAGATCGTTTACTATTTGATCTCATAAGATTTCTTTTTACTAAAGAAGAGATTTATCAAAATGAATCATGATCTTTCGCTATTCACATATTGAGATTTATATACTCCTTTATTTATGACTTGTATGCCCCATCATGAAATTGATCTTTCATGTGATGATTGGAACATTGATGTAAATCGTTGCACCATTGTATCCTTCTCTTTTTTTTTTGACAATGACAAAGGGGGAGAGAGAATTACTAGCTTACACATCTTCAAAAAGAAACAAAAGTTGCTAGCTTGCACATTTCAAAAAGAAGCAAAAACTTGCAGACTTGCACTCTCCTTTTTGTTGATGACAAAGGGAGAGAAGTTATAATGACTTAAAATTTTAATGTTTTGGAATCATGCATGTTATGATGTACCTTGATGATTTAAAATTATGCATACAATACTCATGATTTTATGATGATGTATGCAATGCATACGAAGTAATGATTATTTTAATATGATGTGTTACATATGATAACTATGATTCATGATTAAAATTGTTTCGACTTGAATTCAAAGATATTATGATTAGGAGGTTATCATTTTTTGAATTCGAGTTTATTTTGATATGTCATATAGACAGAGGGAGTTTAGTTAAAACTTCGTTATCAATTGGATGTCATCATAAAAAAGGGAGAGATTATTGAATCTCGGATTTTGATGATGAAATCAATTGATGAAGTTAAGATCTAATGAGCGTTTAAGTAATGCAGGACTAACTTCGATTATAGAAAGGCAAATCAATTGAAGCAGGAGAATCAGATGTTGGGTCGAAGGATTGGTCGATGTGCCGGAAGATGGACTTCATGCTATGAGTTCGGGAATTAGGCTAGAAGGATCGGGCATTGCGCTAAGAAGATCGGATGTTACGGGAGGTCAACATGCCGATGGATCGGGCAATACACCGAAGGAGAGGACGATACACCAAAGGTTCGGATGAAGCACCGAATGAACCAATGACATGTCGAATAACACAAGATTCATGTTTGTAATCATTTGTATCTTGATCGAAGTAGTTTAGATTTTAATTGAGTTAGTTTTAGGTGTAACTATGCCAACTTAATTAGGGGCCTATTGGGCATGAATCAGGGCCGAATTAGGCCTATTGCAAGGCCAATTTAGTGACCTGAAGTTGGGCCAGGCAGTAGCACCGCCTGTGAGTTGAAATGTATGAAATGAACTTTTCCGGAAAACCCGACGGTGGTACCGCTAGGGTCAGCGATGGTACCACTTAGTGTTAGGCGGTGGTACCGCCAGGACATAGTCTCCTAGACTGTGTCAAGTAGTGGTACCGCTCAAACTGACGATGGTACTCCCAATGCACAAGGTCGTAGGCGGTGGTACCATCGGTACCCCAAAAACTCGAAAATTTGAATTTTTAGCTCTATTTTTAAAACCAATTAGGGCCTATAAATACCCCACTCATTCTCGTTTGATCCAACAAGAAAGGGGAAAGAATTCTTGAGGATAAAATTGTTGTAAACTCTCAGTGTTGAGTCTCTTCCTCCTAGAGTTTAGAAGTCTTTCTAAGAGAGAAGTAAGATCTTGTTGTAAAAGAGAGGTGTAAAGGTTCTCTCCTAAACCTGTGAAAAGAATAAAGAGTTGTAATCAGTGATTTAAAAAGCGCTAGGCACCAAAAGGCGCCAAGGTCCAAAAACGCCCGAGGCGCTAGGCGCTCGCCCAGGCACTCGCCCGAGCGAAGCGAGGCGCTAAAATATAAAAATACATAATATAATTAATAAATATAATTATTTAAAATTTTAAATAAAAATATGCTATTAAATTAAAAAAATCTAAGATACAAAATCACAATGTCACATTAACAAAAAGTTTCAGAATTCAAAACAATAAAATTTTACATCAAAGTCATTTATGTTGAAACCTAGCAATAATTTCAAATAAATAAAAATTAACAACATTAAAATCAAAATAATATATTATTAATCTATTAACAGTATTGAAAATTAATCATTTCAAAATTCAAATAAACTTAATATTAAGAGTATACTGTATACTGAGCCTGACGGAGAAACGAGGAACCAGCGGCGAGCGGTGGCAGCGGCAGCGGCAGCGGGAAAGGGAAAGAGAGCGGGAGGCGTGAGCAGCGGGAGGGCTCGCGGGAGGGCTCGCGGGAGTCGCGAGCAGAGGGAAGGCTCGCAGGAGGCGCGAGCAGCGGGAGGGCTCGCGGGAGGCGCGAGCAGCAACAGCGGTGAGCAGCGACAGCGGGAGGGCTCGCGGGAGGCGCGAGCAGCAACAGCGGTGAGCAGCGACAGCGGGAGCAGGAGCGACGAGCAGCGAGATCAGGATCGGGATCGGGATCGGGAGCGGCAGCGGGTTAGGGTTGGGTAAGGGTTATATCGGTTTAGTTGGTTCAATTGAACCAACTAACAACCGAACCAGGACCAAACCAGACCTAAAATCCTGGTTTGGTCACTTGGTTTACCCAGGCGCTCGCCCGAAGTGCCCAGCGCCTGGGCTCAGGCGAGCGCCCAAGCGGCGCCTGTTTGAAGCGCGCCGCATGGGACATTAGCGAGGCGCTCGGGCCTCGCCTCGCCTCACCCGAGCGCCCGAGCGCCTTTTTCAATCACTGGTTGTAATAAGGGTAGTTAATCTTCGCCCGTTAAAAAGAAGATCGGTAGTGTTAGTCGATGGCCTCGAGTGAAAAGGAATTGATAATGGATGTAAGTTAGGACAACCAAACCAATATAAATCTGGTTTGCATTTTTGTTTATGCTTTTTCTTGCAATTACTAACTGATTGAATTGCTCACTACTTTTACCTACATTCCAAGTTAAACGTATTTCTGATACGGGTTTAATCGAACGAAAGTTTTCAAATCATAATTTTTTCAAAAGCACTAATTCACCCCCCGCTTTAGTGTCTTTTACAATCCTAACAAAATACAGAAGTAGCAGATTAAGGAACTAAATTATAACAACCAGTTAGATAAAATAAAACTACAGTAACAAAATAGATTGCAACAAACATACAGATAATGAAACTACAATAATTCATTAAAAATTATTAATTATATTAGTTACATAATTATATAAAAGCATTAACATATGATATTTAATTAACGTAACATCATCCTAATATATTAATAAAATAAAAATTCTGATGATGGATATTCAATTGTGATGTTTACAATTAGCAATGCTGATGGTGTATACAGAAAGGTGAGTCTAGCTGTTGAAAACAAGCAACTAAGCAATGTCAGTAGAGACTTGAAACACCAAAAAGAATTTCAGTTTGCATATTCATTACACTTAAAACTCATCATTTTCAAGAATAAAAACTAAAAACACCTCATTGAATTTTTAGATTTCTTACTGTCATGAAGCACACAAATCTATTGTTGGAGAACATAAACAAACAGGCTTTGCCTCAAGGATAAAAGTTAGATTGCATTCAGTTCCAACGAACATGAGACAATTTATAAGTATACAGCTACATGATGGTCTATACATTAATAAATAGGGTAATAGCTGACGTAAGAAGTTATATTAGATGATATAGTCAACCTTCACGCCCTTTCAACAAATTTTGTCAGCTTTTTTTAATACTTATCACACACAAAAACACACAGACAACTAAAGCAACAAATACTAAGTCTCTCCAGAGAGCAGCAGATCTCTGTAAAGTGACTAATGCAGAAATATGGTATTCATAGTTGACTCCAGAGAAACAAAAATGTGATCCTACCTGGTGATGTGTTCTTAGCAGTATCTTGCAGTTGGCATGAATTTCTTGAACATGCACAAGTGCCTTGAAGAAATTCTCACCAAGTTCTTCTTCCCTTAAAGCATTTATCTGCAGTTATGAGGCTCGTGTCAACATGGATAACCATTCGATAAGGTCAGTTATTGGATGTCTATAACTTCAGATAGGGTATAGCATGTTATGGCTTCTATAAGTACCTCATCATTAGAAAGCTGGTAATCACGAAGGAAGCATGACACGATTTCTTGTCTTTGAGTAGTTAGCTCAAGTTCCTGTTTTAGCCTCTCTGTGGTGCTAATGATATCCCCTGTACTTTCGCTGCAGCCGCTCAATGCTTTTGCAATCCTGCATGAATAAAGTCTTGGCAATATGACCCCATAGGCATAATATTCGAAATGGAAAAAAAGCAGACCTGATAAGACGAAAGGGCACATAATACTTGCACTGACAAGAAAAGCAGCAGATAGTTCAGAAACATGCTTTCGTCAGCAAAAATTTACAATTGTCTCAACATGTGGAATGAAGAGAAATTATTTCTCAAATTGGTAGGACTTGAGACCATTATTTTCCCATCTTTATCTTGTTTCCTATAGCATCTTGGTTGCATTAAATTTTTTTTTTCTAAGAATCAGGTATGCAGCTTTCTACCTTAAAATTCATGTATGTAACATAGGCTAATCCATTACAAAGAATCAGATACGCAGCTTTCTACCATGAAACTCATGTATGTGACTTAATTCATTAATCTACTATTGCACTATGCAATGTGTTCCTTCAAAATTTCTTGTTCAGCAGCAATAAATCTATGAGAAGAAGCTAACTAGAACTCTTCAGCACTGAAGCATGGTCATCACTTTTATGTAAACAACATGTTTTAACCACTAGAAAGAACAATTAAACAACATTAGGCCCCTTATTACATGAAAAAGGAAGACTAGAATAAAACAGCAAAAAAATATAAATGATAGATAAAGTTCTTACCACTTCTAAAAATAATGCTCTTTGTATGTGTGAGAGAGAGAGATAAGAATGAGCCTTGAGCTCCAAAATAGCAAAGAGCCAAGAGATGGAGAATAATTAGAAGAGGACGAGTTTAGGCAAAACCAAGACTTAAAATTTTGGTTTTGGACCGAATTGCATAATTACCCAATCCACATCCCATTTTCTGGTAGGGCAGGTAAACACTGATCGATATAGCCTAGTTCAATCAGGTTTTTAATCCATAGGAAAGAGTACAATAATTTTGGTTTTTCTTCTCAATTCCTTTTTTACTTTTCTCTTCCAGTCAAGCAAGGGCATCAACCAATATATACTGCCTATACTTGTGTACCAAACCAATTTGAGTGGTAACTGATATGATGCTTGCACCCTAGAAGGAAATCCTTAGTCCCAAGGTTAATCCCAATCAAAATCCTGATCCTACCAGCCTTGATTGGATGCCCATATTCCATAAGATCGTAAGGCCTTTTTCTTTTTCTTTAAATGTTCAAAAGCAAATGCCTAGTTTCTTTCCAAGGAAACTGCCTACAACAAACAGCCAAGTAAAAGTTGTAGTCCACATGCAAGGCTCCCATTATTATAGGTTACAAGAAGGGTCAAATGAACAGCACATTGCCCCTAGTCAAATTGGCTACTTCCATGATTCAACTCCATGACACATGTTATAATCAAGCAACCTAACTATCATGCCTAATAGCCAACCTTGAATTGCCCACAAAAGCAACTGTACAAAATCTAAGATGCTCTAGCCAGAAAACTAGGGAGAAATAATATATAAGTCTTGCACCTCAATAGGAAAGCTTAAGATATAAAACAGGTAAGGGGACAAAAAAAAAAAGAGTCTCCTATATAGAAATATGAGAGCAAAATAGTCTTGGATAGAGGAGATAAGCAATCATGGTTTAGAGGCATGAATGTAGACAGATGAACAAGATGGATTATAGATACTGTAACTAGACCAAACTACAAAAATGATTCTTCTAGGGATATTCCTCGGTTATAGCTATGCTTCTTTAGATATATAATTGAATAAAAAAGAAATTCTTCCATTGATGATTTGAGTTCCATCTAGCAAAGACATTCTATCTTCAAGTGCAAAAAGCTGCAGGCACAACCTACATGAATGCATGTCTCAACAACAAACAAAATAGGTCTTCTAAAATGATCAGGTGCTTATAGGACTTCTGACACCTACTGACATGTCCACGAAGATCCCATTCCACCATTTATAGTTCATCCTTCACCTTGTTGAGCCTAGTAAACAAATTAAACATAGAACCATAAAGCAGGAAGCCTGAGAATTGCATTTGTCAAACGTAATCTTCTTAGCCAGGTTGGATATCATTCCTTCATTCAAGATGGAGGAGGACCAGTTTCTCGGTGTAATAATTGTGAGAAATCAATTTACACTTGATTATGAGGACTATGTGGTAGAGCATCCAGACAATGTTGGTGTTAGTGTCCATGTCAACCAGGAAAAAATTGCTAGCAGTGGACAGGTAGTGATCTGTTCAGAGAAAATATGGAAGGGGGAGGATGTGGATCTTGTCACTTGACACCGCATATGATCATTAGGACCATATTAAGCGGGGCCAAACATCTTGTACAAATCGCATGGTAAAAGACTTTGATGTATGCTATCTCATGCGATTGCCTAATTGACGAAAGATTAGCAGGATTTAACAATTAATGGTACTAGATCTTTGTTTTTTTATATTTTCTTTCCTTTCCCAATATTGACAGAATACTTACTGGTCGCAACATTCGGCCAAGGCATTGACCTCCTCCTCGACTGTATCCAGCGCCTAAGCAATATGCAGCAGGAGGAGATCGGACACATAAACAATCATCAGTGACGGGGATCATGATATGTATATATAGACAAAAAATAAAAGCAAAGAGTAGCGAGAGATAGATGCCTGCTGGGCGGCGAGGGATGCATCGAGGAAGTGATGATTGATGGCGAGGGCACGCTGCTCGATTGAGGACTTGAGGTTGCGGCGGGCCTGCGGAGTATTGTCGGCGTAGAAGGTGGAGAGGGTCGCGAGAGAGGATAGCAGATCGGGGCTGTCCGTCCGCGTCTCCAACACCTTCTTCAGCTTCCGAGACAGCCCTGGCGCCAGCGCCGTCACTGCCATCCCACCCAACTGATGAAGCCCTTCTCCTCTCCTCCTTGATTGATTGATCGGTTGATCAGTTCGTTAAATTCCTATTTTCCGTTCCCTACTTGACAGTGGGAAGGACCAGCGAAAAAGGAGGGTTCCCAGTAGTTTCGCGTGGGTCGGAATGAGGGGATCTGATCGCCGGATCATCTCCTCCATCCGCCCGATATATACATTTTTTTCTCCTTAACTTCCTAAATTGCCCTCGATTTTTTCACCGTCTATTTCCGTTCTATATCCGCCGCTTCGGTTAGGAAACTGTGACAGATCTCGAACCGCTCGACCAAGGTGCCGGCGCACTCGGGAGAGTGGTGCGGTGTCTACCGATTGTTAAATCGCCGACGGTAGACCAAGAACAACGACACCGTCAGGGTGTTCTTATTCTTGGAGAGTTATCGACGCGCTCGAGAGAGGAGTGCGGTCTGTCTCCCGATTGTTGTATCGCTGATGGCAGGTAACATCGGCGAGGTTTACGACGATGATACACCAAGTTCAACGAGACTGTCATGGTGCTCTTATTCTTGGAGCCAATTCAGTCGGCACAGTCAACTCGTCTCGGTTTCTTCCGTCCCCTTCCCTCACCTGCACACCGTCGGTTTACCTTCAGCTTCATGGCCATTTTCCCGTCCGTCCAAATTTCCGACTCCTGAAAAATCGTCCTATTTATTTCGTAATAATATGGCTTTTTAATAATACACTTCAATTTTCTTTTCGAGATTTCCCTACTAAAACATCTCTTTTTTATTTTTCCCAAACGTACATTTTAATTAGTACGCACATTATATGTTTTGTTCACGTTATAGCGGTTTAACCTCTTACTAGCATCACAATAAAAAAATATAAAACTTCATCAAATTAATTTTCAGTTTAAAATTTTATTATCATAATGATCTATAAATAATGATAATAAAAACAAGATACAATATAATGTTACCTCTAAATCTGGACTTGAATCTTGGGTTGTGAATGAGCTTAGCTTGGCAGATCTCTCACCGTAATGCGAGTGCTTATTTATGAAAGATAGATTGTTGGTATGGCTGCTGCTACCAAAAGCACACTAAGTCACAGCTCGCCTTCTTCGAGACTTACTCTACCCACATCTCTATGTGCCTGCAGCTCAGAAAGGCTTCAAATCGACCGAAAGAATTAAAATAATGAATGATGAACATGTATTTTTGTATATGTTAAGAGGAAGAATTTTTCTCAAAGTAGAGATTTTCTTATAATGTCGGAGAAATCTTAACTGCTATTATGCCCTGCTAGATGGTGCTCTTGTTAAGGATACCAATCTTAAACTAATACGATAAAAATAGTTTACTGATAAGAAACTTTGTGAGTAAGTCTAGATCAATAAAAACACGTAATTGATGTTTGACAATTTGATTTTATACGAAGTGAAAATCGATGATAATGTGTTTTATACGTAAGTGAAACACTAGATTGATATATAGGTAAGTAGCTCCGATATTATCATAATATATTGTAGGAGTAGAGATTGAGTTGATGTCAAGTTCCTTGAGCAGATTCGTGACCCAATTGAATTCTACAGCAACGGTGGCAATAACATGGTATTCAACTTCAGTTATAGATCATGCAATTGTTTTCTGTTTCTTAGAACTCTAACTAATTGAATTAGCTCCAAGGAAGACAATGTACCCTGACGTGGATGTTCAATAATTAAAGTTTTCAGCCCAATCAACATCGACAAAAGCATGAAGATGAAATGGGAAGTGTTTGCAGAAAAAGATATCATGATTGAGGGTCCCGTAAAGATATCGTAAGATCCATTTGTCGAATCTTAAATTTTGATGATAAAATTAATTGATAGTATTTATGATTTGATCTGTGTTTTAAGTGACGTATGAAGCTTCGATCGATCGAGGAAAGATAATTAAAAGCAAGAAGAATCATGTTGGGTCGGAGCTAAACATGTCAGAAGAATGGACATCGAGCCGAAGGATCGATTGACATATCGGCAGAAGGCTTTGGGCCATGAGTTCGGGCATCAGGCCAAGAAGAGCAGAAATTACGCTAAGAATATCGGAGTTACGGCGATCAATTAGTCGATTGGGCAATAGGCTACAAGAGAGGACGATGCGCCAAAGATTCGAATGAAGTGTCGATGAACCAATGATATGCCGGACAATATTTGATTGGCTTTATAATAATTATCTAGATCGAAGTAGGTTTTAAGTGTGCAGGATTAACTATGATAGTAATCAAGGCATAAAGTAAAATGAAGTCCCGGAGTCGAGAACGAGATTTCGTTGAGAATTCAAGAGTTCGTTAGAAGTCTAGACGTTCATCGGAAGTTCTATCAGAATTGATCGAGAAGTCTAGGAGCTTGCCAAAGAAGCTCATCGGAACTCGCCAAGAAGATCATTGTGAAGTCCAGGAGCTTGCCGGGAGTCCATTGGAACATTACCGAGAGATCGTTGGAAGTTCGTCGAAAGATCGCTGGAAGCTCACCGAAAGAAACCTAGACTAACCGGACTTAATTTGCTTAGTGTATGCCTTAAAATTCGTAGTTAGCACATACTTGGATTGAAATTGGGTCAACTCAATTAAGAGTCAATTGGACCTAAGTTTGGGTTGTGTTAAGCCAAGTGAAAGACCCAAACAATAGCCCAACAAGTGGAACCATCGTGGCACAGTCTCTAAGACTATGTCAGGTGGTGGTACCACCCAAACACAATCTCTGAGAGACTGTCAAGCGGTGGTACCACCCAATGACAGGGTGTCAAGTGGTGGTACCATTAGACTGGGTAGTGATACTGCCTAGTGTTAGTGTTGCAGGCGGTGGTACTGCCCAACACAAGTGGTGGTACCGCCAGGACCCGAAAAACCTGGGATGACACACTTTTAGGCTCCAAGTTTGAATTCACTTGAAGCCTATAAATACCTCTATCATCCCTGGTTAACACACATACAACTGAGAGCAAAAAGAAAAGAAAACACTATTATAATTTTGTGTGTACTCCTCTCAAACTCTATGTGTTAGTCTTGTTTAAGAGAGGAGTGAAGGGGATTGTAAAGGTTCTCTCCTGAACCTGTCAAAAGGATAATCGAGTTGTAAAAGAGTTGTTGATCTTCGCCTATTGAAGGAAGATTATTGGTGAATGCTGGTGGCCTCGACGGAAGAGGAATCGATGGAGTGGATGTAGGTCACAATGACCGAACCACTATAAAACAGTTTGCATTTCGTTTTGAACAATTTACCTTTACTATAAATTGCTTTACCTTCTTATTGCTTTCACTATGCTCTCATACGCTTTCAAGTTAATATCTTTACGAAACAGTTTTCGTCGGAATCAGGTTTAATCAAACCGAAGATTTTTAAAATCGGTAATTTTTCCGCTACACTAATTCACCCCCCATCTTAGTACCGACTCGTTCCTAACACCATTTAACTACAGACCAATGCATAGTAGATGATCTATACATGAATTGTGATAATTTATTAATCACAAATGAGATATCTGGGTGGGTGAGAACTAAGTACTGAAAGGAGCCAAGTACTTGGCGATATTGAGTAGGGTTCGTAGTAGGGCTTCCATCATATAATTTGAGTGATTTACCAGTAGACAGAGGAGTTGTAATCGCTTTTGTCATACATGTTCGTCTTTGATAACAAATCCTGAATATACTTTCTTTATGATAGGAAGAGTCCCGTATATGTTGCTTCCAATCATAAAAAGTAGCTCAAGGTTCTTATATCTTTGAGGGAGAATCAATCTGCCAAATGCTTGAGAAATACCTTGATCTTCATAGTATTATTGCCCGTGACAATGATATTGTCAACATATATTAGGAGATATATTGTATTACCATTTTATTATCGAAGAAATAACGAGGTATCAGACTTGGAGTTGATGAAGCCAGTTAATATAAAAAACGAGCCAAGTTTGGTATACCAAACTCTTGGGGGTTGACGAAGTCCATAAATAGTTTTTTTGTAGTTTACAAACATACCTTGTTGGGCTGATAGCCCATATTCAGCCCATGTGGGCTAGGGCAGCCCACACCCCCTCTTAACCTAACCCTAATTAAGATTAGGGGGGTGTGGTGGCTGCGTTTTAGAAGTAGAAAAATGCTATAAAAAGGTAACAACAAGGCAGATCTTTAGGGCCACGGGATTCCAAAGAGAAGAAGGAGAACAAGGCAGAAAAGGAAGAGAAAGAAAGAGAAGAAGACAAGGACAACGCAGAGAGACTGTTCTCAATCATCTAGCAGTATTCTCATCTCAAGTTAGATCAAATCTACAGTAGACTCTTGCTGTGATTACTTGGGGAGGTTTTAGATATTGTGGGCAGCGACGTGATCCTTGTATCCCAGTTATTCTCTTGTGGTTGTTGCTAGGGTTTAGGGCAAGAGATTGAGATTTGTATATTCATTATTCTCATAGTGGATTATCTCTAGTTTGCCCCGTGGTTTTTACCCTTCACATTGAAGGGGTTTTCCACGTATATCTTGATGTTCTATTTGATTGTGCTTCTATTTAATTCCGCTGTGTATTATGGTCTTCTAGTATTTGCTCATATACAAAGGTTATTCCTCTTTATATCCCCATCAACTAGTATCAGAGCGGGGTTTTGGTGATTTAATTTTTGTATTTGAACATGGAGGCCAGTAATATTTCTCGCATAATTAGTTTGAATGGAAATAATTGGATGATATGGAAACCAAGAATGGAAGATCTCTTGTATTGCAAAGATTTGTATGGACCTTTTTAGGGGGATAATGCAAAATCTACAACTATGACAGATGATGAGTGGAAGAGGTTAGATCGAAAAACAATTGAGTTTATTAGATAGTGGCTTGATGATAGTGTCTTTCACCATGTTTCTACTAAAATTTCTGCATATTCTCTTTGGAAAAAATTGGAAAGTCTCTATGAAAGAAAAACAGCTGGCAACAAAGCTTTTTTAATTAGAAAACTTGTGAACCTAAAATATAGAGAGAGTGCTTCTATTGCTGAACATTTGAATGAAATGCAGAGTATTACTAACCAGTTATCCTCTATGAAAATGTCTCTTGATAATGAGTTGCAGGCATTGTTACTTCTTAGTTCATTACCAGAAAGTTGGGAGACACTGGTGGTTTCCCTTAGTAATTCTGCGCCAGGTGGTATTGTCACTATGAGTCAAGTAACAAGTAGTTTTTGAATGAGGAGTTGA